GAAAAATAGAGATTTCGGTCGCGTGCAATGAAAAACTAAAAACAATAAAGACAAATTTTACATAAAAAGTTTATCTTTCAAGATAATATTTTAATATTTCTCGTATTTTCAATGTGTTAATAATATTTCCTACAACTAGTAACAAAACTTGGGTATAATTAGGATTTATTTCATTTCAATAGCATTGTGAAAAGAATTTGTTATTTAAAGTAATGATCGTTAATCGCTCTTTGCAATGGATTATTGTATTAATCGTTAATTCTATCTGTATTTTCTACGAATTATTTCCAGTAAATACACATTTATACTTTTTATTGTTTGTTGTTAATTTTTCCCTATTATATTTTCGTAATCACGTTTCTTGTAAATTTTCAGTTTTGTAACTAGCATTTTCATATAGCAAATATATATATATATATATATATAATTATATTTATTATTTATAGGAATTACTTCGTAATAAAACAGCTGAGTTATTTAAATAATATAAACATATTCAAATCGCTTACTCTTGGAATCGTAACGTAAATTGGGAATTGTTGTTATTCATCGTGGATTGAAATCTATTCATTGTAAAATGTTCATTAGGTTTCGCAGTATCTTCTTATATATTCATGTTTAACAATAATTTGAATGTATTATTTCTGAAATATGTAGTACAACTGTAAACGCCATACATCCACCCTATATGAATTATGTAACTACTGCCGAGTATCCATGCACAGTCTTTGATTGATTGTTGGCAGCATTATAACGCTGAATAAATTGAATTAATTAAAAGAATATTCTGTATTCGAGTAAATTTTAGTGTTAATATTTATGCAAAAATAATCTTATTTGTAGATAAATTCATATACAATTTATAAGTATACTAATTTAAACAATAGTTTTTATGTCTTTTACGTAATTGATTTTACTATGAATATTAAAGAAAATTAAAATAATAGATTTCTAATTTTTACATATCCGTATACACATAAATATTGAAACATTATTTAGTTGTATAAAACTCAACGAAAATTATTCGTAAACATATTTTGTACTTTTTAAATATCATAATTTTTATATTTTATGTTATCGGAGTGCACTTATACAAAAGTTATCGAATTAATGTACAGCGAAAAGAACTATTTTCGTTTAATTGTAATTGAATTTAATAAATACTAGAAAGCTAAGTAAATATTCGACTAAATAATAATGAAAAATTGACAATTTTTTATATTTAAATGTTAGCATTAATAATTATAAGATCGTGGTGATAGAGCTAAACGAAAGTAATAAAACTAAGTAGTTTAAAACATTTTTGTAAGCATTTAATGGCCACATCACATTATTCATGTGAAAATTAGTATATTTTCATGCAAACTAGAGTATTTTCAGAATATTTAACAACTATTATTGCACATAATCTTATCTCCAAATATTTTTTGTTAATATTAAGGAATTAGAATTAAATTTTTTACAATTTCTGATTGTTTATAATACAAATATGCTTAATACAATAATTTTTAATTATATATAAAATCTTATTAAATTTAAGTATTTCAACTTCTTGAATTTCATAATAATGTTTAAAATTATTTTAATATTTACTTACACAGTCAATTTTATATTAATTTATTTGAGCCATATTAATATAAAAAAATGTTTCTCACTCGTTTTCTGAATAGCACAATTTGTATGTTTAACGGATGGTATAGGAAGTCCTTGGACTATCACTGTCTTATATTGAATTCTGTTAAGAAATCTGCCATTTACAATTATTTAAACTATATTCGTATTGTATTTAAACGATTTTTAAGGATTATTAATGAAATTAATTTTACAGTCTACTGATGGATTTTTAATTTATATCAAATTCGTCAACAGATATCAAATTTATTATAATTAAATCCAATAATTTAATATGATAATGCTATTTCTCCTGAACGTCAATTAAATAATTGACAATCAATGACTTTTAAAATTTACAAAATAATTCCATTAAATACAAATAATTAATACAAAATAAATTTTTCAATCAGTCAATTAATTTTCATACAAGTACAATTGATATAAAAATCATTTTATCACCTCCATATACATATTGAACTTTTTATAAAAATTAAAAAATAAATGTATTGGTTTTTATTCGACGAATTAAATTATAATTAAATTTTATGCTTATTTTTCTTTTCTTTTCATAACTTTTGCGTTTTTATATAACACATGTCATAGGTTACATATTTTTAATTCATATTATCAATGGGCTTTCAATAATTTAATTTACTTGAAGATTCGCAAATTTGTAACACATATAATATTCTATAGACATAATAAATATTTTTTGTTTCAGTAAACTATTGTAGTACTATTAAAGTAAATAACTATAATTTACGTCGAATTAATTATACAATTTTATATTATTATTATCAAAATTACTTACGAATAAACAAATAAATCTTCTTAGCTTCGTTTCAAATAGAGGAACTCTCTAAGGAGGAACTGATTTTTTTTAAATAATATGCATTGATACGCACTGGTCAAATGAAGTCATAATTTATAATTAATTATTCATATATATCTTTTATTTATATATATATATATATATATATATATATATATATATACATATATATATATATATATATATATATATATATATATATATAAATATATATTTTTTATAAATATCGTTTATTATAGTTTATATATTATTTATAATTAATACAAATTGAAAATTATTCGGAATAAAATTTTTTTTTACATTTTTCTTTTTAATAAAATTCTGTAACATCTAATATAAAATCTATGAAGAATGAAACAAACATGAAAAGGTTCACTTTGCTTGGATGATATTCTTCGGGTATATCGGGATATAATTCTTTATAAATTCCTATTAACCTTCCATTTTGCACAAGTGGTGCTCCTCTGTTACCCTAAAAATTTAATCAATGCTAATTCTTAAAACGAGGATAAGCTTATCAAACTACTAATTAACTGAATAATATATCTTAAAAATATTAGATAAATATAGCTTCGCGATATTTGATCGAATATTGAGATCCAATCTCGATCCAATAATATCTAATCGCTGACTCGCATAATATATCTATAGTAAATTATATCTATTTACAAACATGTATTGGTGATTTTTATTAATTTAATTATTGTTTTATTTATCTAGCATCTTAAAAATTTTTTATTTTTTTTTAATTTCTAAGTTCAGTTCTAATTGCTTTATTTTATTCATTATAAAAGCATATCAATTTTGTTTGCTTAATCTATTTTTAATTCTAATTTATATAACTTTAATATATATATATATTTAGTACATTGATCCTAACTCTATTAAAATTTATATAACATTTGACGCTGTTATTTTCCTTTACCTTTAATTCGATTAGGATAATTATGGTGGATACATTGAATTTCGAATTAAAAAGATAAATATTAATAGTATTCAATTAATAAATTTAAGAAAATTTTAAATTTAAGATAAAAATTCATAATATGAAAAGTTTCATAGTACTAACCTTACTCATGAGAGCAACCGGATTGGCAATAGCACAAAAGAAATTTTCTGTAACTCTAAAGTCTAAATACTGTCTTGCAAATCTGTGTTCACATTCACGTTTAGTCATGACTGTCAGATCAGCAGTTTCCATCCAATTGGATATATGGTCACGAATTTCTCTACCAAATGCTGGAACTTGGCCTCTAAGATGACGTAACACTCCTTGTGGAATGCTGACTGTTTCTATTGGTCGGATGTCATAATCAACGGTTTCGTTTAGCTGCAACAATTTTTATTTACAATTTCTGAATAAATTATAATTTAAATTGAATTTTTATACTAAAATTAATAATATATTTGGAAATTATTATTTCAGCTTAAAAAATATCATTTACTTCGCGATACTTTTATGAAAGATTCTGTATTATTTAAAAAGAATTACCCTTAATATTATAACGGAATTCAAAATCGCTCGCCGTGCTTGTCGTATATTATTCCACTGATTATAAGTTAACCACCAAAGTACGTAGTGCTTTGAACCTTCTCTGATGTTGTTGCTTCCCACTATTACTTCAGGCACCTGATTCAAGAAAGAGTTCAAACAACTTTCAGCTGTTAAAACATCTTTATGTGAAATAAGAACTCCTGTGCAAACGTGATCTGTTTCAGGTTGAGGATTTGCAGGATTAAAACGTTTAATTGATACAACGTAAGGAAATTCTCCTGGATCAGCAAATCGAACATTTACTCCATGTATTGGACTTCCTGATATGGAATCATAATTGTTACCTAAAGGATAAATAATATTTTATTACGAGTTTTATATTTCGACGATGTTTGAAAATTGTCATTTTCTTACACAAAATGAGAAATCCAGCAGCCAATAGATATACATTGATCTGCATATTCAAAATATAATATCGACAATTACTTTAATAATATTAATATTATAAATGTTCAACGTGTTATTTAATGTTTTATGTGACTAATTATATTGGTTTTATGGTTCAGCTACTTATACCGTTTTAATGGAATTAGACAACTACATATAATGCCTAATATATTAAAAGTTTAACGCAAATATTTAATGACTGATTTTATATATTATAGACGATTGCATTAATAAAAAATAAATAATAATTCTTCATAAATGTTATTTATTGTTGCATAAAGATCAAGTATCGCGCACACCGACTTCACCAGGACTGAGAAAACCTTAGAAGTTATCAGATATTTACATAATAATTTAATGCGATTAAGTGCATGCAATTACTTTAAGCATTAAAATTAAAATAACAAAATTCAATATTATGTGAAATGTGGAAACATGGAAATATCGTTTGTGTTTGAAACATTGATAAAATATCAGTCTATATTTACAGTTTTTAGCCGTGGATTAATGAGAATTTAAGGAGAGTAAGATTTTTAATTATTCCACTCTTATCAACATTCATAAGACAATTAAAAATGTATTTGTATAAAAATAGGCGATTTATATTGCCATTATTTTATACAGTATCTATATATATATATATATATATATATATATATATATATATATGTATATTACATTTTATTAAATAGGTATTAAATAGCTTTGACGTACTAATTTTATTTTTGAATGTTATATTTATATTATTTAGAAATCAACTTCATTTTTCAATTTCAATAATTATATGTATAAATTGAAAAAGAAAATAAATATAATTCTAATTTACTTAATAATATTTGAATAAATTCTTGAATTCTAATAAAATATGATATTCGAATTTCATTTAATTCAGCATAGCAGATGTTTTTTAAAATGAATAGTTAATTATATTTTTAATAATATTTAGTAATTATTATAAATGAAGTACAATTTTTAATATTAATTAATTTTAGTATTTTCATAAATAATATTACATTGTTGAATGCAAATACATAGAGGCTATTATTTTATGGAGCGAATGTAGTCTTTTAAAAAAATGAAATTATCTTTGTTTCCTAATAAAAAAATATTTACTAAAGAATATATTTATGAAAACTATGGAATTTGAATACGTAAATAAATTTAAAAGTACAAATATTTTATAAAGATCAAAATGGAAAATAAATTTACAGTAGACTGATTTATATTTTTCTTTGATTTATTAAACCAAGTGAAGAGCTATTTTACGAAAGATATTTGAATATTGACTGATGTTTGCACTAATTTTAGAAATAATATAAAACTATATTATATAAATGTGATGAAGATAAATATATTTGTTAATTTTACATGTGGAATTCATTTTCTGAATTGAATGTTGCTAGATAAAAAAAATAAAGTTTACTAAATACATAACTTTGTATGGATATTTCAGTTCCTCAGGATTACATGAACAAAGAAGAAAAAAAATTAAATTGCAGCTTAGTTTCCGAAAGATAAATATAATTGTTCAAACAGTCATTACATATTAAATATTTTATAGAGGATCATGTAATAGTAATATATTAACATATGATAGTTTTTACAAACATGATATAATCTTTTTAGAGAAATGATCACATCTAAAAATGTTCTATTATGAAGGAGAATAGCGATTCGCATGTACTTCAATTATGGTATCAATAAGGAAATTTGAAAATACAATTCGTATAAATCTGAGAGATATTATTAATATAATAAATTTATAACCCTCTCAAGATTTCCTTTAAACAATAAACAGAAGGAAACATTTGTTAATACCTTAGGTAACTTGATATAGGTCTTCGAATTAATATTTTAACAAATATTTAAAAAAGCTGTGAAAATTTGAATTATTAATTATTAAAAACAAGCCCGTCAAGATTTTCGAAAATATCAAATAGCCCAAAAAACTCTAGGTAAGATAATAGTTAATAATAATTACTATACACGTATTTATACTTCATAAAAATTTTATTTGGCATAATATTGTTGCCTATTTTCAAATTTGTAGTTAACGTACTAATAATTTGATAAAGAACTTCATAATAAAACGTAATTCATATCAAATGTACTTAATTGCAAGTTTTCCTTAAAATTTCTAAATTATTGAATAAGGAAGAGATTCTCCGTTGGAAAAACCAATATGACGTTAAAATTAAGCGATTTTAAGAGCCGAGAATAACCAATAACGCTTATCATACATCGGAAGTAGGAACACAGAGGCCACGGAGGTCCTTTTTTTACTTATACAAAACTGTAGGGAATCTTAATGTTTCTCTCTTTTTTTATGATTACGTCATCTCGAGCACGTTATTAAGGATGGAAATCCTGCGAGTGGAGACTGCAGGACAATTCAGCATAGGAGAGTTGGTCCGTAGCTTCTAAGTGAGGTATGTGCAATGGATAAAAATTGGCGATTGCGGTTGTTTGTGCGTGGGATGTGATTGAATCAACATATTTTGAAATGCTTTTTGTAACAGTGAGCAGCGATGTGAATTTCGAATTTGGGAATGAGATTCCAAAAAAAGTTGGCTCTTTCCGCGGCGGTTTAATATATGTTTCAATTGTAACCAAATATTACTTTAGCAAATTATTATCGATTAGGTCAGAAGCTGTTTTGTTTTATTATTTAATGTCCTTCGTTAATCAATGTCTGGAACCCATAAACCAGAAATATTCTTGTCATTTTTTAACTAAAAATTTGAATAACGAAAATAATACGTATTTTTATTTTCAGGTCAAAATATATGAAGTTTCAAAATATTTCTCATACAATAGGTTTTCAAGTTTTAAATATATTAAAATTCGAAATAGGTAAACGAAAAGAGGAAATAAAAATACAAAAACGTTATTTATTACACGTATAATACATAATAATGTATGTTTATTATAAATTATATATGTAATTTATAATTATTATAATTTGAATATTTTTTCGGAATAAATTTTTTGATGTGTTCCTCTTTAAAAATTGTCTCTTAAATCTAATATAAAATCTTTGTAGTAGGAGGCAAATATAAAAATATTTAATTTGTGTGGCAGATATCCTTCCGGCTGCTTAGGATACAATTCTTTAAAAATTCCCATTAACCTTCCATTTTGTACAAGTGGTGCTCCAACGTTACCCTAAAAATTAATCAATATTAATTCTATTAATCAATTGTTGTTATTATAGATATCATTTTTTTTGTCATTAATTACTTTATATTGTTAATGATAATTTTCATTAATATACATTGCTTAATAATATTTGTTGTTTTAATTTCTATGTTCACTTCTAATTATTTAAAATTATTGATTATAAAAGCTATATCAATTTTCTTTGCTTAATCTATTCTTAATTCTAATTAATATAATTTTAATTTATACATTAATTGTATTTTGATCTTAACTGTATTAATTTTATATAAATTTGACACTTTTATTTTCAATTAGCTTTAGGATAATTTTGGTACATACATTGAATTTGGAATTAAAGAGATATATATTAATAGTATTCAATTCTTAAATTTAATAAAAAATCCATTATATGAAAAGTTTTATAATACTAACCTTACTCAGAAGAGCAATCGGGTTAGCAAATGCACAGAAAATATTCTTAGTAATGACAAAACTAGAGTTTACTATTCTTCGTTCACACATACGATTGGTCAGTGATTGTATTTGGACAGTTTCCATCCAATTGGATATATGATCTTGAATTTCTCTGCCAAACGCAGCGACGTAACCATGCATATTTCGCAATATTTGTGGTGGGAGACGGACAATCGTGACTGGTTTGATTTCAGAATTGACCACGTGGGTTAACTATACAATTTTCATATTCATATTACCATTAAATATATAAATGTAGTTTTTCAATGTAATACAAAATTCCCTTTGCTTTAAAAAGGAATATACCCTATAGATAAGAAGAGAATTCTGCAAAAACTCAAGTGCTACATTTCGTACATTTGCCCACTGTCTAACTGCCATCCACCAATTTACGTAATGTTTTGTACCTTCTCTGATATTATTTCCAACGACTATTTCAGGTCTCTGATTGCCGAATATTTCCGCACAACTTTCAGCTGTTAAAACATCTCTATGTGAAACAAGAACTCCTGTGCACACATGATCCTTTTCGGGTTGAGGGTTAGTAGGATTAAAACGTTTAATTGATACAACGTAAGGAAATTCTCCTGGATCAGCAAATCGAACATTTACTCCATGTATTGGACTTCCTGATATGGAATCATAATTGTTACCTAAAGGATAAATAATATTTTATTACGAGTTTTATATCTCGACGATGTTTGAAAATTGTCATTTTCTTACACAAAATGAGAAATCCAGCAGCCAATAGATATACATCGATCTGCATATTCAAAATATAATATCGACAATTAATTTTATAATATTAATATTATAGTTAATTATATAATCCTTCAATGGCTTAACTATGCTCAATTTGTTTATGATTTAATGTTTATGGTACAGCGACTTATATATTAAAAGTACAATCTAACTATTTCATGACTTATTTCATGCATAGTTACATTAATACAATATATGTACTAATTCTTTGTTAATTTTTATTTTTTATAGCATAATGAATAAATATTGTGTATACAGATTTCATCAGGATAACGAAAACATTTCAAATTATCAGATATTTACATAATAATTTAATGTGATTAAAATTAAAATATAAAAATTCTCAGAACTATCGTTTACTTCAAATATTGATAAAATTGTGTGTATTAATGAACGATATTATTAATTATTTATGTCATAACAACATCCACAAGACAATTAAACATATATTAGTGAAAAATCGATATTGCCATAATTATTATACAGTTTTCCGAATTGAAATTAATCTTTAATAAACCTATATAGTACATCGATTCAATAAATTATTATTTATTATTTTTAACAATATGTATAATATTTATAATATATTGTCTGTAGAAATTAACATACATTAAAAGATTTACTTTTTCTGGAAGATCTAGTTCTAACTAAGTGAAACATATTCCTTTATGAATAGTTATTAACTGTTGGTTATATAAAACTTGGGAACCGTTGTTATTTAAATAAAATGAATTGATATGGAAATTCGAAATTGTAAATAAACATACATTTATCGCATACGAAACTGTTAACCCAATCGTTCGACTAATAATAAATTTTAACATAATAAATTTTCAATGTCATGATAAAGTTTTATTATTGCGTGCATTGTCGGCATTGCTCAACGAACGATAAATATTGCAATCGCATTGAATATAATATTAATATTAAATTTTTGTTATAACTTCCAGTCATAATTATTCGATTTAATCACTTTAATCTGAAAGTTTTAATAAGGATTTTTCATATTGAGTAACGATGTTTTAGTCTGATTAACTAGAATTCCGAAGAAAATAACAATGTTCATATTCTTTGAATTTTTCAGTTTTGGTCATTATAATTTAATATTTATTATTCAAATAGAGCGTCATAGGACATATTTATGTATTGTATTCGAAAATTCGTTTAATGCTATCACAATGAATATCGTAACATCATACACATTGATAAGAGAATTTATATATATTTTTATAAAAAAAAAAAAAATGTTAAATGGACAGTACATTTCTTCAACAGTTTCTCCATATACAAATTTTTTTTTCATTCTCAACTTACATGATATTGACATGCATTCAATATTGTAATCTATTTAGTTTTTATTAAGTTAAAATTTATTATGCAAATTACAAATGCCAATTTACTCGTAGACAATATGTAATACGTTAATTTTTAAGGTTTCTTTTTTTGCTACTGTACTGCTTGTTTTTTCCTTAAAAATTTGTTATAACATCTACTAAATATTGTCTGTAAAAAGGAAGGTAAATGAAAATGTTTAGTTTCTTCGGAGAGAATTCTTCTCCCGTAACAGGAATTAATTCTCTGTAAATTCCTAGTAACCTCCCATTTTGCATGACTGGGGCTCCTCTATTACGCTAAAAACACAATGAAACCTTAGTTTTTTTATAGTAGCGAATAAATATGATTCATTTGAAATTGAAAATAAATATAAATACTGAAGCTTTTATATTAACAACAGTATTAAATAATTAATAATATCTTTATACATTTGTTATTCACAAATCAATATTATTTTTCATGGAATATCATATAAGTATATTAAAAGTGCAAAATAATACTAACTTTGCTCATTATTGCAAATGGTTTTCCAACCAGACACATTAAATTGTCTGAGACATGATAAACATATTGAAGTTTCCGTAGTCTAGTTTCACATGCACGTCTGGACAGAATTATCATTGGAGCGGTTTCCATGAGATTAGAAACGTGGTTGTGTATTTCCCTACCAAATGCTGCAACTACCGCATTCAAGCCAGATAACATTGTTTCTGGTATGTTAGAAAAATCTGCTGGGATTATTGATGGATCGACGGTTTGATTTAACTGAAACATATTTTGTTTATGGGAATGAATTTTAGTTTAAAAAATCAATAACAATGGGATTTTAATATTAACTTTAGACGGAGTTCACGCATCTACGATTTCACTATTAATTTTATTTACACACGTAATAAGATATAATTTTATTAATGTATTATATAATGATTTTTAATATAATTACCCGCAGAATTGTAATGTCGTTGGAGGAAAGTGGTAAAATTTGGCGTAAGCTTCGTACGTGACTCCACTGTTCAAAACTCATAGACCAAAGTACGTAATGTTTTGTACCTTCTCTGATATTGTTACTTCCCACCATTATTTCAGGCATCTCATTAAAGAAACATAGCAGACAACTTTCTGTTGATAAAACATCTTTATGTGTAACGAGAACTCCTGAGCAAACATGATCAGTTTCTGGTTGTGGGTTAGTATCATTAGAACGTTTAATAGATACAACGTAAGGAAATTCTCCTGGATCAGCAAATCGAACATTTACTCCATGTATTGGACTTCCTGATATGGAATCATAATTGTTACCTAAAGGATAAATAATATTTTATTACGAGTTTTATATTTCGACGATGTTTGAAAATTGTCATTTTCTTACACAAAATGAGAAATCCAGCAGCCAATAGATATACATTGATCTGCATATTCAAAATATATTATTGACAATTAATTTTATAATATTTTATTTTCTAGTTAATTATCTAGGTTAAATGATCAAATATAAATGTATAATAAATAATAAAAATTTTAACTGTTCTCTTGTGGATAATTTAACGTAATTCATTATAATTTTAATTCTTTAGCTGTTTATTTTATATATACTTTTTTTGTTTTACAAAAAGTATAAAATGAAAACCGATACAGTAATTTATAAATAAAAAAAATCATTGCCATTATTCAATAAAATATTTCATAAGTTTCATAATTAGTGATAGATAAATAATACTTATTTATAAATTAGTTATTTTATTGTTCTTTATAATCATTTTTTTTTTATAAATGAATATTTATTTCTGGAATTATAAAATTTTTTAAGTTATCAGATGTATACATAAAAGTCAAATGCCACTAAATATTTAAATTATATTATCTATTAATATTCAAATAATCCAATTTAATATTTAGAAAAATTCTAAAATATTCAAAATTTAGTGATGTTTCGTTCATTGAGAAAATGTTATTTTGTGAATAATTTTGTTCGTTTGCATTGATGAAAACGCATGATTATTTTATCTAAAAATTCTGATAAATATTTTTCTACTTAATTCAAAATATCAAATATTAAGTATTTTATATTCTCGTCATTATTATTTACTTTTATTATGTCACTGCTCAATTGAAAATAATTGCTTTATTTTGGAATATTAATACATTTTTTAGATTATTTTCTTCTTTCCTTTTTATTCATAAGCATAAATAATTTTTTTTTTTTTTTTTTTTTTTTTTAAGCAAAATAATTGAATTGATTATATATATATATTTTTTTTTTGTAAAATATTGAGATTAGTAACATAGTATTTTCGGAAGTGTTATATAAATGATTAAAACTTTTTCTTTAGTTTTATTTTTTCTTTTAAATCTTCCAAGTTCAATTTTGTAATATTATTTGTATTTAAATTTTTCCTATCCTAATAGTCAATAATTTTCAATATCTGTTGTCAATTTACATTGTTATAGAAATAAATTTAATAAAAATTAAATATGCATCAATGTTATTTTCATTTTATTATATATTTAACACATTAGCTATTAGCTATCACTAACAAAAGGTTTTATACTCATATGTAATAAATTAATTCATTAGTTATTGTCTCATTTATGTATAAAAAAATTAATTTTTATCATAGCTAATAGATCAATTTGTATAAAAAAATATAGTATATACGACTACAATCTGGCTATTAAATTGATTTAAAAAATATAAGTTTTATTAATAATATAAAATAATTCCAATTTATTTTAATAATTGTTAAGAAAAGATTGGTTTTATACTCAATTATTAATGATTCGTATATCTCATTAAATATATTGTTAAATATTATTTAAAAATCAGTCGCAGAAGTATATTTTATGATTTTCTATAAAATTTATATTTTCAACAAGTAAATATGAAAAGCAACTGATGGTAAAGAAAAGATTAAAAATGGTAAAC